ATTATTTTCGTTGCTACTTCATAACTGTAATTTTGCTACTGTTATGAATCAGGCGACCCCTGCAAAAGGGTCATTTGATCCCTAAAGGGGTCATGACCCACAGATTGAGATCGCTGCTCTAGAGAAAGAACAGGTAAAAGCTATCTTAGAAAGAAAGGACACTTATGAAAAGTGACGCCTCTGGTCCAGTGAAATGACACAGGAAAAACCAAAAACAATGCCCCACCCCGCCTATGCCAGCAAAGGCCGTGAGAGTATGGGCCCTACCTTTATCAAGTTTTCTCGGGTTTTTTCTCCACCGGTTTAATTGGCATGACATTCATTCATTGGCATGTTATTCATTCTGCATATTGTTAATTCAATTGCATTCAGTGATTCCTACAATCACCATGGTCAGTTTTAGAACTTTCCTTTCATTCTTGTACTCATTGTTATTAACTCCCTATGCTCACCCAGCCACCGCTCCGCTCCTGCCATACTCCCCAAGGAACCACTGATCCAGTTACTATCTCTATAGAATTACCTAGCCTAGATTTCATATACTAATTAAAAAAAAACAACGAAAAACTAACAATAACAAGGTAAAACATAAAAACTTCAATTTAAAAGAAAGCAGAAAATATTTAAAAACATAGAAGAAGAGCTGTATGAGCCCCTAATGAAACAATTAAAAAAAAACCTAGAAGAAATGTAAATGGATCATAAGGGAGATCAAATGATAGTGTGCTACATTTTAACCTAAATGCATCATCAACAATCAAAAACATCCCAATGCACTGACATCCTTGACCCATGGTTAGAGGTGACTCACCAGCAGCATAATACACGTTTTAATGAGGCATTAAACTACCACAGTGGTGCCAGAAGAGGTTGAGTAGGAACTTTGGGTAGTTACCTAATCTATTGTCAATTTGAGACTGAAGAGTGAAGGGGTGGAGATTAGCCTGTCAATCAGGTGGCAGCTTGATGACCTCATTTGGAGGCACTAAGGAGATAAATAGTTCGCTGGAGGCAGGACACATGCACACTCCCTGCAAGACATTCCTGTGGACAAGACACATGGAACTATGCTAGAGCCCTGGAGCTGAAGGAGCCAAGTGGAAACCCCTGCCAGCATTAAGATGCTTCCACCATCAGTGGATCCACAAGACTTTCCACCCACTGGCCTGTGATCTTCCTGCTCTCAATGTCGTTGCATGTGTTTCGTGAGTCTGAAGAGGAATTTATAGATTGGTGTCAGACATATGGTTTAATATCGGACTTATGGACTTGATCTGGACTGGGCTGGGATGTTTTTTTCAATATTTAATTGCTCTTGTTTATAAAGCTCTTTCTTTAAAAACATATGAATGTTTCTTAATTTGTTTCTCTAGTCTACTCAGACTAAAACAGAACTGGCAATTTCATCCTTGTTTTCCACTAATAAGAGCCCTCGTCCTACAGTTAGTAGAGGCTAATTGGGAAAACCTAGACTTTCACTCTCACTGGGATCCTGCTTCCTGCTGGAATGAAGTCAGAGGAGCCTTGGTGGAGACTCAGGATTTTTTTTCCATTTTCCAATTTAATAAGGCCATTGCCTCACACCTGTGGTGTTAGGGGTGGCCACAAAGGGAGTAGTATGAAGGGACTCTAACCCTACCTATCCAGAAGTAGCACTGGAAATCTAATAAGAACCCCAAACTCCCACTCCTACCTTGCATGGGGTTTCCTGAACATCAGAGGGTTGGGGAAGTGCAGAGGTATCTTAGTTATCTGGTGTTCAGACAACAACAATATGTAAGTAGATGGCTTTACTTCACAGAAATGATTCTTTCACAGTTCCAACAAGAATAATCTCGCTGCCATGAAGTCCATTCTAACACATATGGACCCTCTTTGACAGAGCAGAGTTGGCCCTGGGCTTCCGAGCCTGTTACTTTTTATGGGAGTAGAAAGCCTCGTCATTATCTCTTGGAGAAAAGTGTTGGTTTTGAACTGCTCACATTGCAGTTAGCGGCCCAATATATGACTCACTACACCACCAGGATTCCTTAAAAGACTAGAACTCTGAATTCAGGGCACTAACTTGAAGGGAAGGCTCTTTTCTCTTTGTTGCTCTGGAGAAAGGTCCTTTTCTCCTCTCAGCATCTACGGGATCACCATTCCTTTGAAGTTTCCATGTATCTTTCCACCAGTGTGATCCTGGGTCTCTATTACTGCAGAAAGAAAAGTAACTGACATATATAAGTAGATAGGTTTCAGTAGGGATCACAAAAGAAATGGTGTGTTTGGGTTGAGCACAGACATTCAACTTAGATTGTAGAAGTTTGGGAAGGATATTGTCCAGTTAGAAATGTACATCGTCAAAGATGTGGAATTAGACCTTGTGTCAAAATAGAAAGTACATTATAGACAGGGTACAAAGAAGCTACACTGTGAATATTTTTGAATACCAACTTTAGTCCATGGGCAACAGGGAGTCATTAAAAGTAGTAGAAACTTTGACATGTAAAATTTGGCAAAGGCAGAATTTCAGTGAAAAGGTGGGAGACCATTGATGAGATGATTTGGCACAGAGGCTGCAACACTGGGTTCAAGGACAACAACTCTGAGGTCAGGGAGGGACAAGATAGTGTTTTGTTTTGTGATGCATAGGGACACTCTGGGTTGGCATCAACTAGATAGCACCTAACAACAATAGCGATACTAGTATGTACACTGCCTAAATTAGTGTTCAGTCTCTACCAATGGTTTGCTATAAACCATGGGAAAGAATCCTTAACCCCCACAGTCTCAGTTTCCCCAATTCTGAAGTGTGAATAATTTGTAGAGGTTCTATAAAGCATAAGCTACTTCAAATAAAGCTCTTAGCACAGTGCCTGAATAAGTTCTAAATTCTTGCTAAGTATGCTGGTAGCGATGATGAACTGACTATGGAAAGATAACCCTCCCAGTGCTGAAACAGGGATTGAAGAACGGGAGCTGATAAGGGGCCAGAGAAGAAGGCATGACGATCCCAAGGATGCTCCTTGCCTAAGAGGCTAAATATAATGCACCATGAACTCCAGGTTTCACAGTTTTGAAAACCTTATTCTTTAAGCATTCTTCACATGATACTTTTTCCTGTACTTCAGCTGGGCTCTCCAGGATCTGTTTAATAAGTTAGAGTACAGATTTCAAAGTGATGCGGGCTACTTAATTACATTGAAAGAAATCTATAGTTTTTGTAACCTTAGCAACTCTGAGTGCACAACACTGACATCTTACAGAGTAATTGGATTTAGATGTGGAGGGTGTTTTTTCTCTGTCAGAATTTAGAAGCAGAATGAAATCTCTGGAGTGAATTGGGGCATTGCTGCTATTGTTGTTGTTATTGTTAGGTGCCATAGTTCTGACCCACAGCGACCCCATTCACAACAGAAGGAAACACTGCCGATAGTGCACCATCCTCACAACGATTCGTCATACTTGAGCCCATTGTTGCAGCTTTGTGCTGATTCACCTCCTCAAGGACCTTCATCTTCTTTCGCTGTCCTTCTACTTAATGCCATGTGCTTCTCCAAGGACTGGTTTCAGTTGAATGCATGGCTCTCCATCTTTGCCTCTAAGGAGCGTTCTGGCTAGAGTTCATCTAAGATAGATACCACTATTCAAACACATTGCTTTGTTTGAACTTGCTTATTCAATGCCCAAACATATAAACAAAAAACCCCAAGCTCACTTCCATTGAGTCTCTTTTGAAGCATGCTACCCTATAGAAGAGGGGAGAATTCCCCTGTGGGTTGTCCTAGACTGTAACTCTTGACAGAAGTAGAAAGCCTCGTCTTTCACCTGCAAAGTGGCATTTCTACCTGTTGACCTAATGGTTGGTTAGCTGCCAGATGTGTAACCACTAAACCACAGGGACAAAAGAATGAACCTATTTGAAGGCTTACAAACCCCAGGTGATATAGTGGTTACACATTGGGCTATTAACCCCAAAGGTCAGCATTTCAAAAACCACCAGCTGTTCTGCAGGAGAAAGATAAGGCTTCTGACTCCTGTACAGAGTAACTATTTCTGCAACTCGCAGGGGAAGTTCTACCCTGTCCAGTAGAGTCAATGTGAGATGGAAATGATGCAATGGCAGGAAGTTCGGTGTGGTTGGGACTGAAGATTTAAATGAAGATTAAATCACAGACCTGCCAAGCAGTTGGCATCCTGCCTGATCACAATAAGTCCTCAATAAATAGTAGCAATTTTCTTTCTTTCTTTTTGCTGCATTTCATTAAATAAAAGACTGGCACAGATTGTAAAATATACCATTACTTTATATACACTAAGGCAGAAAAAATGCTGTTAATTAAATGGCGACATATTGCTTTCTTATTTAGAATGTAATATACATTGCTATATATTATTTAGATGCATTTGGCAGCACGTTTATTCTATATCCTCATGCGTATATAAAAGGGCAGTATGAAGAAATAAATTTAGCTATTCCTAAAGCTTCACATTCAGAACCCAGCACTTTTGAATCACATTTAACTCAGTCATCAAAGTTCATTTTTATCATATACAATCATTCCCTAGGCTTTCAAGAGTAACTGAGAGGGCGCATATTGAGAAAGAATCCATGCAAGAATACAAGCCACAGATGCTGAGTGCTTAAGGTGGCACAAATGGTTATGTGCCCAACTACTGCCTGAAAGCTTGGAGATTCAAACGTACCCAAAACTTTTTACAATTCAAGTCTTACGGATATCTGAACCTCCAATATTAGCAGCTGAACAAGTTACCTATACTACCAAGTCACTACTTGTCCCTACACCCAGCCAAAAAAAAAAAAAAGCCAACACACTCACCGTGGAGTCATTTCAGACTGATAGTGCCTCTAGTACACTTAGGTTTGAAACTACATTCAGTCAATTGTTATGTACATCACAGTTTTAGAAGCACTGATTTTATTGATGGTATTGAATGTTATTTACTTTGGTTTGCTTATAAAAGGGATCTCTGTGTATACATAAAGATACTATGGTACACTTACCTGTCAGAGGAGAGACCATAATATTGAAGGTAGCTTTGCCAGGGTGAGGCTTATCTATCCATTACAATCCAGATGTGCTGACCCCTGTAATTTCCTCAAATGAGGGAAATTCAACTGCATAATTTGTGGTAATGAGGGACTGTGTTCATGTTCTCCCTGATTAAAAAGGAGAGAGAGAGAGAGCAACCAATGGTGGTGCTATAGTTTAGCACTGACTGGGCTGTTAACCAGAAGGTCAAGGGTTCAAACCCATCAATTGTTTTTGTACAGAATCTTGAGGCTGTCTGCTACTGTAAAAATTTGTGGTCTCAGAAACCTCTATAGCATTGGGTTTTATAATATACCTAGGCCTGGCCTCCCCAGCTTATGATCTCTGTCGTACCGTACTGAGTCAAAGTTTACAAGTAAGACCTTTGATGGAAGGTCCCCTGAATTGGTTATATGTAGTATTAAATTAAAATGGCGATGAGGTGGGGGGTGGGGTGCTAGCCCCACCCGCTATTAGAACTCACTGGTTCAGTAATACTACTTCTGAGTTCAGTAATGCACAATTGTACAGTTGAGGTATATAAGTATTATATTAAAGTCATCAAGAGCATAAGAGATATTACAATAATGCAGTCAGACACATTACATAGTAGCATTGCTCACCTCAGCCCAGCTTGGTGGTCCACATGAAGAGAGGGGGAAGAGAAGGAGGGCAAGGGAACAAGGGAGAGAGGGAAGAGAGAGGGGTCAGAGAGATCAGAGAGTCAGAGAGGTCAGAGAGCTCTCTCTTGCTGACCCACGCCTATATACGTCTTGGGGGCATGCCAGCCCACTAATTACAGGTAGAGACATATGTCACAGGAAGGGGTTATACTATAGGTAACAGTAATGAGAGGGTGGTCTAGGGGGTGATCTCTGGGTCTCCATATGAACCATTATCAGTAGGGTGAAAACTCCGCCTACAG